ATCTTTATTTCAATGTCTTTTATATTTCTAGTCTTCCCTGGTTCCTATATTAATGAGTTTCGCGTTTTTATTATATGCCACATACTTGCTTTTCTATTAAGTACATGCCTGAGTGCCACATTTCCTGCTCCTAGTTTTTGCCTTATAAGAAACTGTACAGAATCACATGCACTTCTGCAGTTACATTCTACCTGTAACTTAATAGACTTTTTCTGCATAATGGGGTGTTTTTAATAACAAAAGCTCAACCCTTTTGTGTCTTCTGAGCATTTTTTCCACTAATTTTCAATATAGGCTGATCATCTAATCTCCAATCCCACAATAAAGTCAGCTTTCTATAACTTTTGCCATAACTTCATTGATAATTCTGCTTAATTTTCCATCACCACCAAGCTTCTTTGAGCCTTTCATCCACTCCATTTCTGTTGAAAAGGACCCTGACTCCTAACTCAATTCAAGACAGCATGTCAGCTATCATCTGAGCCAGAAACACACACTGTGCAGAAAGGAACACTAAACAAAAGGCAATGCCAAACAAGTGACCTCATTCCATGCCTGCTACCCTTGCCCTGGTCACATCTACAGCTTGCTGGCACAGGCAAATAAAACCCTTGGCCCTTCCTCCTGTTCTCACAGCACTGCAGCCAAGGGCAGCCCAGCCCACACCAAGTATCGTTGCTGAGCAGGCAAGAAACCACTGCGAGAGATGAGATTGAGGCACCTCCACAGATCATTTGAATGCTTCACTTTCCATCAGTGGTACCTGAGGGAACAGCACAACTGTTCAGCTCTGCAACAAAATGGTAGCCAATCTCACTTAGGACAAAAGGTGACCAAGTACCTTTTTCCCACTTAATGATAAGAGGAGGGAGGAGGACCCTGCTCAGTATTGGCACTCCGAGGTACAGCCTGGAGACACCCAGACCTTGCCCCAGTACAGACTCTGGGTCTTGCCACGGGTTCCTCGTAAGACAATCCTCCAGTCCTCCCTCAAAGACCATCTCTGCTGTGCCAATACCCACACCAGCCACACTATCCTTCTCAGCTACTCAGCCACTCACTATTGTGGAAGCTGGGAACAGCTCTCCTGTTATGCCAAACCCTATAAAAAACAGTTAACCTTGGTGACAGAAGTCACACACTCTGGAGTATATCTTTCCTCACAAGGCTAGAAAAATACTAGACTGGCCAAAGTGGGTATGGGTTCACTTTACACCACTATTCCCCAGTAAGAAAAAAGGAAGGCAAGACCCAGCAGGGAGAAGTTCAGAAAAGACTTGAAGTTCAAAAAAGCCACCCCTGAAATTATATTGTCTTCAGAGTATTTTCCCAAAGTCCACTAGGGACTGACATTCAGACCCCCTCTTTTCTGCTTGTGGTTGGCTTACTTAGTGACATATTCAGCATCTCCACCTTTATACACTGTCCTTTGTGGGGACTCAACCAGGTCACCACTCACCAACTCAGGGAAGACAGGAGAGACAGAAACTCAAGGCAGATCTGGGGAGGGGTGGTGGGGGAGAAACATCCTTCAGTTTTCCATTAAAATAATGTGGTTTCTAACAGTGAGACCGTGTTGGTGTGAGACAAAGAGCCTTCCAAAAAAAGTACACAAATATCTCTTTAACTGAATCATTATTTAAATAATTACAAGAGCAGAAAGGGTTAGAACGCAATCGTGTGTCACTCTAATTTACTGCTTGGAGAAATAAACTTTTCTTGTGTTAGGATGGTTGGATGGTTAAAAAGTTCAGTCATTGGTTATACATATTACAGCGCTGCCTTTGTCACAACAAATATATCTACTGACAGCCTAGAGGAAATCACAAAATCACTTAAATTTGTCTTAACATGCAAAAAACAAAACAACAACAACCAAAAAAAAAAAAGTGCCACAGAGGACCAGACACTCCTGTTGTCAAGGTCAATGAAGCCTGTGAGCATCATAGGGGTGAGACATTAAAATCTCCAGGGATCAAGATTAAAGATGGTATTAGAAGAAGCAGAATGTTTTGTTCTTCAGCAGGAGGTTTAATGGTGCCCTAGCAACTGATGCAAAGCACAGAAGCATTAGGTAAGATGGAACTGAAAGGTAAAATGATAAGCAGGCAATGGACAATGAAATAAAACAGGGAAATAAGATATTATATTTACCTTGCAAGCATTTAACTACTCAAAGATCTCTGGAGGTGCCAATTCCTACTTCTCAACTTTTTGGCTAATTAATTTTTCCCATTTAAAAGCCTCATTTTAATTAGCTCCCAAGTTGAGCTGCCATGAAGAGGTTTTATTTTCATTCTCTTTTTTCTATATGTAAAAAAGACTGACTTCAAAAGTACGTACTCATTAAAAATAATTAGTGATTTAGATACCACTTAAATATATTCAAGGATACTGGAAAAATAAGTTGGGATTTTGTCATAATTCAGTTGCTTAGTATCACAACAGGGAAAAAAAAGAGCCATATACTTAAACATAAAAAACCTTCCAAGCAGGTTCAATCTTGAAGTCACTAGTGTTTAAAGACAGACTCACATCCTTTAGTCAGACAATGGACAGGTGCTTACACTTAAGACAAAACACAAAACACTTCATAGTTTTCTTCATTACAGCTTGGAATTTTTCCTTCCATAAAATACTGCTCGAAGAGGCATATGCAATACAGTCAATACCACAGCAAAATGTGGAAATGGCATACCTGACAATGTATTCCTCACATTTACATAGCTGTTTTAACCTTCAATCTGAATTTTCAGAGTTATAAGTGAGTACAGACGTAAACCTTTAGATCAATATGTATCTGCAACACACTAATCTGTCAACAAGCTGGCAATTAGTGGTGACTAAAAATTAAGTCCATGAAATGTTATGCTAGATATTTGAAGATTATGTAGTTTTTTAAATTACTGATGCCCTTCATATAAGCCTCACCTTGCAATATGAATGTTATCACAAATAGAAAATTAAATCAGCGAGACAGAAATTTCTACTTCTTTCTTTTGTATTCCCTATCTAGATTATTCTATTTTATTATTATTTTAAGGCAGGAAAAACCCAAGAAGTATTTTTCTAGGCTGGATTGAACATTTTGCTCATCAAGGAATAGAGCAGTCTTATTGAATTGAAGTGTGTATCACATAAAGCAACTCATCAAAGCAAATACATGTTTAAACAAATACAGGTTCAACTTAAAATTTACCAATGCCAGGAACATAAATGAATGCAATGCCTTTGATTCTGGAGTGCAATGACACTGTTCTAGTTTACACAGATACATGATTTAACTATTTCTCTGTAATGCTGAGCTGTCTTGCTGTTTTCGAAAGAGAGGCATGATAGGACATTCCTATCAAAATATTTAGGTTATCACTTGATTCAATTCTACTTAAAGTCTACAGTTTTGCAACCAATTTACATTTAGCATTCATTTCTCATGCATGAGTTGACCCACTTACATATGCAGTAAATCCATGCCTTTGGGGATTTTTCTGGACGGCTTGCTTTATTTCCACCACACAACTCATTTTATTTTGTCAATACAGTGAGCAAGGTTACAGTCATCCTGTCAAATTTATTTATTTAAATTAGAATCAGAAAGACTATACTACTCCCTGTGGAACTTCATGGAAAACTTTTTGAAACTTTGAGGCTACATACTTCTGCTACCAACTGATTTCGTATGAAAGCACTAATACAAAAAAAAAGGCAATAGTTAAAATAATTTCTTCTGTAAACTTAAAAAATAGACTTCTGAAACTCTAGAAGAATATAAGAAACCACAACAATAAGCATCACATTATACTTGCCTAAGAAAAAGAGAGAAAAAAGATTTTTTCTAAGCAACCCTATAGAATAAAGCCAGATGGAATAAGATCATTAAGAAGCAGCTATGTAGGCGTCACATCTGCTTGCTTTGACTATCAGAGATCCACTTAACCTAAAATATTTCCCCCTGCATCTCTGAGGATTCACATTTGAGAAGCTTCATTTGAGGTTGCTTACCATCCCCACAGTGGGGCTGCTGAAAGGGAACCTTCCCCAGGCAGAAATTGTCCCAAGGTCACTGCCATTCAAGTCCAAATAGACTTGTGTGCAACAGAAAGGAATTTCCATTTTACACAACTTGCTAATGTGTTTCTTTCGCGCATCAGGAGCTTACCAGAACCTCAGTACAGATTTGCAGAGAGTGTTTCAGTGGACTTACCCAAAGGCCTCTCTGAATTGACACACCTAACACTCTTGTGGGCAGTGTGACATACAATAAACAGCACACTAACAGCATTATAAATCCTTATTGCTAATGCTAACCATTTTTCCAAATGCAGTTATGCCTTGGGCAGGGGTTTGTTTTCCAGCTTCTCAAAGACAAAATACTTCTGCTGTTTCCAGAGAAGAGTTATGCACCTTTCCACCTGTGTTTCAGAAGAAGCAGCTTTATAACAACATCACTGATAGACTCTAATGCTTCTCCTGCTCTGGATCAGGAAGTTGACCTTTAGCAGGTGAGGAATGTCTCCTCATTAGAGATATCTGTTTTACTACCCCCATGGAATATGGTCTATAACTGAATTATACATTGCTGAAAACTGAACATCTGCCCGCTCAGCAGAAATTTAACCATAGTTTAAGTCATCTAAATTATTCAGTTCCACCTGTACTGACAGTTTCATACAGAATTACTGTAATGACTATCTGACATTCCAAAAAGTATCCTTCAAGTTGGCATTCTGGAGTCTAAAAATACTGTTTCCTCCTACATGTTGGGAGCTATTGTTATGTAAATCACAAGCATTGAGAAAGAGATACCAGAAAAGAGAATGTGAAAAAGTTATAGGAATAGAAAGAGAAGCTGATGAATCATGAACACACTGCTCTGGATTCTCAGCAATCTTTTCCTCCCCAACAAGCCACTGTAAAATTCCCTAGCAAAGGCTGTGCCTCCCTCTACATCTAATAGGAGCCTACACAGAAGATAATGGTTTACTCTAGGTGCTACTTACAGTATTAGCATGAATAATGTCTGTGCTGTAGTTCTTCATTTAAATAAGGACCACATATCCATATCTTCCATACTGGAGAATTCCAATATCTCCTTATTTCTTGGACAACTCTGAAAACAATGTAAATGAATACAGTTAAAGAAGTGAGAAAGAAGCTTTAATGAAAACTCCACAAAGAAGTTACAGGTTGTTTTTACAACATTTTATGGTGTGTAGAGTATCAAAACATACAATAAATAAACAGTAAATGAAAAAATATTAGAAAGCTGAATACTTGGTGACTACTGTCCTACACAGGGATCACAGCAAAAAGAAGTAACGAAGCCCAACAAAGCAGCATGCCACTAAATATCTTCAGAATTTTTCCTGAAAGTGGAGGTAAAGAATTCATTTGCATAGGAACTAATTTAACGCTGTCTCTAATTTTGCATATTTTGATAATGATCAGTAAAGAAAGATTTTTCATTTTAAGTAGAATACACCTTGAGATTTCAAAACAATTCTCAAAGCTTTCTGTTTTCTCATTTAGCACAAGTTCTATCTAAAATATTACTTACATTTACTTAGGTTCATCATTTCTTAAGAACATGCTCAGTCATTTTTAAAATTTCTGAAAGCTTACAAAGTATAAAACCTATGTAAAAATCTGCAAAAAAATACTCATGGTAATTGAAAATTAAGGTAATTCTTTTGCTAAGAAATTTCTAAAGCATTTATTAGGACTTTACACTTAGGCAGAATGATTTCTGAAAATCAGAAATCAAACTCCAACACAGAACTATTAGAAAGTCAAAGGACCCGAGGCTTTTCAGAATTTCCATTTCTATGAATCTACACAAAACAAGCTTAGAAGATCAATCCACAGAAAGAACAAAGTTGGACTTCATGCATGTATGTTCACTGCACAGGAGCACAGCAGGAACTCCACCTTCTTGCAGATACACCCATCTTAGCAATAGGAATGACACATTCAACCTTCTTGTTTCCAGACAGAAAAATGCTGTTCAACTCAAATGATGCTTAATAACATGAGTTACATGAAGATATTTGAAGTGCAGCTGTGTGGAATTAAGTCTAGAACATACCAAATAATAAATACCTCTTGGAGCTGCAGTTCATGTTAAACTGTCAGAGGTACCAAGGGCAGCAGAAGTAGCAGTAGCAGGATGCATCTGGCTGAGCACACCTGCCACAGACATGCAGCACCAGGGCACTGCTCAACAAGTGCTACTCCATTCATATTAGTCAACACAATTGTCACACATAAATAAATACTTATTTTCCCATTGAAAAAACAGCAAGATAAAAATCATGCTTAGGAATACAAGGACTCAGGAATAACACATTAATTACTTCAGAAGCAGTAAAACCCCCTAGAACAGCATAAGGTCTTTTGCATACAATTTAAAATGCTTACCCAGTCTCTCCATTGATGTGCCAGGGCTGGTTTTGTGAAGTGCAGACATTGATGCTGCTGTTAATTTCTCTTGTTCCCTATTCTTCTCCTTCACTTGAATTCAATGGAGGGAAAAAACCGCTTAGAGACAAGTATCTGCAGGCTTTGTGCTGTGAATCCTACAAGTGGAGCTCTGGGCCATGTTGTTAACATCTTCTCCTGCCAATTTTCTCTACAATCTGTTTTGGCAATTTAAGAGATCATTTTGTGTTTGAGCAAGTAAACAGATTGAACAACTCTGCCAATAGCTTCCAAATAGGGAGCCATGGCTCAGTGTCTGTCAGGGACAGTTTCTAATTGGAGATGTGCAGATGTGCACAAGCAGTAGCAATGTGGGTTGTGTCCTCCTTTAGTTGCTTCTGAAGATGTATTTTTATCACATCAGAGGTAGTGCCCAATTTCCTTATAATTTCTGTCTTTGTCCAGACAACAGGTGTTCATTTGATTCAAATTATGAGGGAATTCCTGTCCTCCTCTGCATCCCCTGAAGCTGTATAAATTTAACTGGAGATAGAATGTAACCCTTGATAATTAAAAGCCCCACACCATGCACCATATCTCATTAAAGACATTTAAAGAAAATTAATACACAGCTTTTCTCACTAGAACCCACATACAACACTTTCAAGAATGCTACAACATCTTCATACACTTTTTGCATCCAATAAAGATTTCACTAACTTCAATGAGGAGTTCAACTTGGGAAGCCACTCCTTTACCCCACAGAGGGATGATTCAGTGACCTTCTCTTGATTAACTCTACTGTCCTTCACCAAAATAGGATGCCTTGGAAATGTGTTTTTAAAAGCAGATTTAATCTGTTTTCTTATTTTCATACTGTTTTCACTTCAGATACAACCCAAACCTACTGGAAAATGAGTCACATGCAAATAAATGAACTGCATGACTTCATTTTGTTGTGTCTCCAGGAGAAGAAGGGCACAAATGTGTGGTGCTTCTTGCTCTTATGTGATTCAAGTTCATAGCAGCATTAATGCCAAAGTGAGGAATGCTTTTACATGGGCTCTTAATGCAATGAGCACAAGCACTGTGAAAGCTTCCATGCATCCTTCCAGCCATACAACCAAGCCAGCAACCTCTACTATCCAAGCACTGGCCTTTATCTTAATGAAAGCTTCTCACTCCATCAATTTGTATGGACACCTGTTTTCTTTTATACTTTGCAGACATTTACCAGAAACACATTTAAGAAAGAGCAACTTATTTCACATAGGATAAAACACACTTCAAGTCATACATTGAGACATAAAAGTGCAGTGGCAGTAAGCTGCAGCTCATTGCTGCAGACTGCTGAAAGTGTTCCATTTCCCCAAAGAAAATAGTACTAGATTGAGTTTCTACTCCCTCATTTAGCCCTTTGTCATGATAGACTCACATTTTTTGCCATCATCTTTATTTATTCTGTTCCTTTTGCCACCTTAATATCTTCCTTGCAAAACCAGTTTGTAGCTAGCTTAACTGCAAAATCACCTACAAAAATACATGGGGCAGGGGCTTTTTTCATTTTAAGAGTATTTGCATTCATTCTGAAAACCTTCTCAAAGTTCAAAATGGACAAAAAACACTACAAGGTCCTTTGACAAAATGTATACATTTCTCTGTGAGAAAAACATGCTTTTTTATGTATTGACTACATATTTAGTGCAAAAATATGTGGCATATCTACAGAATTTGGCTCTTCATGCTAAAAAAGTCATGAGATTAAATTTCAATCTTGTCTAAGAAGCATCACTCTGGTCCCGATTCCTCCATAAGAGTTATAAAATAAAGTCCACAAGTTTGGTCTAAATCTTCAGAGGAAGGATTGCTGGTGGCAAAATAACAATCAAAATTCAACCCCCTTTATCTACCCACACTCCTTCCACTACCCCCATGATTTTTTTTCCTCACAAGGTTTATATTCATAGCACAAGAGATTCTTTAAAAAGTCAGAGTAATGCGCTGACATCCATATGCTGCCAAACTTCATATCAGGACAAAAAATATACTCTTTTAAAAATATTTATGCCACTTAACATTTATTATAATAAAATTTATTTTGTTATTTATTCTCATCAAGGATATCTACACAATTAACTGTTCTCACTTACCCCTTCAACGAAGTAGTTACAATTTTGGTTCAAATAGGCTCTTTGAGGAGTTTCTAGTACTTCAAGGTGAAATCAAAACTAAATTGAAAATTAAATAGATATATTAATTGATATATTCTTCCATTTTTCTTTAACAAAAAAATTTAAATTATTTTAGAATTATTAAAGTGCTTACCTTTCAGTGTGTTGAAATCTTGATTAGATCCTTAGTCCATGATGTATACTGCTTATCTGACAAATACAGAAACTACTCTCTGTGGAAGGCATTTCTATAATACAGGAGCTTTCTACTTAAATTGAAGTTGTTGCCTATGCAGAATTATCTTTCTAGGATATAATGCTATAAATTAATTATTTCAGTGTAAACAGAAATTAAATGCAACTTCTTTTATCATGCACCTTTTAAAATTTCATTTTACCCTTCAAGACTAATTATTTCTAATAGGGTCCCTGACTTGGAATCTCTATCAGCTACATGCATAAAGTAAACAACTCTGTACTGGATAAATCAAACCTATATTGTAAAGAATAGCATGTTGAGAAATGAAGAGAAAGTAGTCATACAGGCAATGACCAAGGGTAAAAACCTGAAATAAAACCACTTTTCCCATTTTAAAAAGTTATTTCTGGGTCTGAAAAAGCAGGTAAGTATCTTTGGTTCAGGAACCAGATAGTATCATAAATCCTGGAACAAGATATTCCATTAGAACAGAAACTCCCTTGATCCACTCAAAAGCAGAGATGGGAAGAAAGCTCTTTCCCATGCCACAAAACTACTTGTTTTCATTATCTCCTTTTCCCACCACAGAAAACACAACGTGCTTTGAACAAGAGAGAGATAAGAGCATGCAAGTGAGCTGTGTCCTACTATCCTGTAGTCTGATGTTGAGGGTACTGGGCTCGGGAGGCCTGAATGGAATTCTTGGCAGGCCAATATCCCGAACTGAGCACCACAGGCCTGCTGCAGGGCGCTCTCTCAGCCTCTCCTTGGGGAGCAGACCCGTGCAAGGGACTGAGAGAGTGCCCTGCAGTAGGCCTGTATTCACCAGAACCTCGCTCGTTTCATCTCCTTGATGCCTTCCAGAGCTACCCCACAGAAAGGAATCACTCTTGCTTGAGGAAGTTATGTAGGTCAGGAGAGGACCTAATTTAACTTCCCGGTCTGAATAAAAAATGCAGCTGATTAAAACCAGGGAGTCGCTGAAGTTTCCCAGATCCCAAATGGAAGTCTTAATGGCCATGCTTTTTGCCACTCCAAAGAATACATTTTTCTCTCTTACAAGCCAGTAATTTCAGTTAGCCCCAGTATGAACATGAGATGAGCTTTTGTTCTCATCTTGTCTACACACAGGAGCAGTTGCACAGCTCTTAAATTAACTGTCGTCTCCACTGGCCAAGGCTCCAGGAAATGAGCCCAAATTTTTCATCTTAAAGACTGGCTCTGGACATCAAAATCTTAAATAGTGAATGCTTTGGCAAGAATGGTAAACCTCCACTGCTGTGAAAAATAATAATTTTTCAATTACTTTTTTCTTCAATAACAACCCAACCTGAAAAAAAGTTTTTCTTTCAAGTAAATAAATCCCACTATTTTTTTCTGATCATACTTACACTGTGTGTCTCTGATGCCTTGCTGTTATTTTATTACTACAGAGAATGATTGAAAAATATTTTCACAAAATAATCTATAGGGACAAGTTCTTGCAACAGAAGAATGATCAGAAGGCAAGTCAAGAAAAGTGAATAGTATTGATTCTGCATCTTTTCTAGTTCATACTAGCTCTTACCTATTTCATACATATCAGAACTTGCACTATGTATCACTCAATATTCCATCATGCAATAAGTTAAACATGCTACAAGAGAATGAAGTACAAATAAACAACTTTCTTAGCAAAAATACACTTCCAGAAAAGTCCCACTTTTTCAAACCCCACTCCTGTAAGCTAATGAAATACATTGTTTTGCTATTTGCCATTTCTTTGTCATCTTGCAGAGCATTGTCTTCCACATCTTTTCTTTTAAAACTCAGCATCAAAATTTTATCTGCAGCTAGAAAATTCCCTCTTGTTTGTTTTGCTAATTTTGACAGCCCCTGCTAAAAAAGAGACAAAACTTTTTAACTTACATAATCTATATTCTTTATATAAATAAAAAGTAAATTTAAAAGTTCCAAAAGTATTCTTACTCAATAAAAAATATATTAAAAGAGCAAAAAGTGTCAAATCATTTTAATAAAGAAAATACTTTGAGCATACTAGCTGAAAGTTGGAGAGGTGACCACACATTGCCAATGTGCTGTACAAGTCCATGGTATACAGTTACACACATTTCAGAATCTGACATACACAAATCAATCACCAAAATCAGACTGTCCACTCACGCAGACTTCATCGAAACCACCAACAGACACACCTTTTCTTAGACACACTATTTCTCCATCTACAATCACTTTAGGTTGCAGTCACATACATTACTGATTTGTTCCTGAGTCCTTTTCAGTCTTTGTAACTCGGGCGTATCGGTCACAATACTGAACCCTCTTCCTTTGCTTTCTTCAAAGTCTCTTTTGTATTTTACCTACAGAATAGAAAATACAGAAGAAAGGGTTGTTTTCATTTTCCACAATGCGCCCCTAGCAATTTAGCATTTATTTTCAGTGCAAATAAAGCACTTGTGAAAGGCTTTCAGCCTTTAAAGGAGAAGCCTGCCTTTATCCACTTACAGAGATAGACAGCAACTGGACAAAATTTCCCAGTGCCCAAGCTAATGCCTCCTGCAGGGGTGCCATGGGCTCACATCTAAGAATACTGCAACTGTGGAAATATTCTCTATGGTCACTTCATTCTCAAACCAGTTACCACAACACTGTAGCACTTACTCTTACACAAAGAAAAATAACTATAACTAAATCTGGAGGTCTTCTAATTCTTCTAAACTTCATATTTCATCCCCCAGTTATGATTATTCTACCAGTCTCTTTCCCAGCTGAAACATAAATTACACATTAAAAAAATACTGCATGAAAAGAGTATTTAGAATATCATAAAGCCAAACCTTTATAAGTTATGGAATGGCTGCTTATACAAGCTTAATTGGTCCCTCTTGCATATATGAATTTGGATATTGTCTTTAATAAGGTATTCATATATTATCCTTTGACAAGGCCCCCTGCTTTACTGTGTACACAGCAGAAATGGTTCTATAAGTGGTTGTGTCCTTTTTTAGGACCAGACTACTCAAATCCTACCATCAAGGTAGGAATATTCGTTTACTCAGAAGTTTTCATATAGCTCTCATCACAGCCATTAATCAATCTTCATATTGCACCCTGGAAAGTGGGAATGGCAATATCCATACTACTAGGACAACCCGCAAACTGAGGTAAAATAAACTTAATTTCCAAAAACATACAGGGGTCTCAGGGTGTTTGCTCTCTGATTCCTAACAGTTGAATATGTTTAAATTATAGGCTTGGGTTACCTCTACAGATAACCAGTAATTCTCCAAATCAGTCTGGGTGTACCCAATTTCAACATAAAGAAACAAGACGAATTCTTCAAAATCTTAAGCCACTGTTGAGGAACAGACAAAACTCAGCATCAATGACAGAGTCAGGACCCATGTCTCCACGGATGGATTCAGCTACCTTATCCATAACAACTTTCTTTTACTTCCCATACCCCCTGCTTTACTCACTACACATATCCAGATTTTGCAAAACCAGTAGCACAGCAAAAGCAGCACTATCCTTGACACAGCTGATAACTAGAAATGCACCAAATTCAAGGTTAGGCTTATTTCACAAGCAAGCACTTCATGTTACAACAGTGATGCACAGGAAGAAATAATACGTCTAAATCACAAAAGTTAAGTTTGACAAGGCTATAGAATATAACTTGTCCTTCCCATCCTAAACCTCAATCAGTATGTTAATGACTTTTACTTTTTCTTTAATATAGCTCACATATAAGCCCATCCAACAAATCCTTGAGACATGGCAGCAAATTACCCCATCAACAAGTTTTTCCTGTGTTCCAGATGTAGAGCTGGCTGTAGATTTCACATAAGTATAATATTTTCATGCAACCCTGAGACAAAGGAAACAGACCCTTCCACTCAGGCTTTTGAGCAAACCATGGGCTGATTGGCCCATGCCTTTCTGTTCATCTCCCCCAGGCTGAACCCGTCTGCAACTTTCCCTCCATTTGACCACAATATTCCAGGTATCACTCTGTCTCATTTTGATTTTCTAAACTAGTCTGGTCCATCACTTCACAGCTTCTTGTTTAATCCCTGTACCCAAGGCACTCCAATATTCATTGCCAACTACCTCCCTTCCACCAAATGGCTCCATCTTCACACTGACTCTCAGGCCTCTTTAAACATACTGGGTGGACATGCTATTCCAGGAAAGAAGGTTTTCAGAGTATCTCTGAACTTTCTATATCTGTAGTCACACAAAACTTTATCCACATTGGACAGACTTCCATGGCCAAGGACATATGACTAGCACAAAAGACTCTTCCATCTGAGCAAGCTTCAACTCCTTAGCCTTAAACGCTAAGACAACTGAGCTGTACAACCACTCAGTTGAACCAACTGTTCAAAACAAACCAACAAAACAACCTGTCAATAATTCCAAGTAAGGGAATGGGTCTCAGCCTTGGAAACTGCTGAAGATTTTGCACAAAAAAAAAATCAAATTTGGCCTGAAGCAGGCAGCGGTCATGGAAATGTTCAGCCTTGCCTGCTTCAAGTTTACCAGAATTTTGAGTCAGTGAACACATCTTAGAAATGGGTTCAGCCCTGCCAAAAAGAGAGATTACCTATTGTTAGAAAGAGCATTTCCTGTTATTACTTCCAAATGTACAAGCCATTAACTTCAAATGACCTTTATTCATCTTACAAAGGAACAGAAGAAGAGAGGGAGGAAACTAGATAGTTTCAACTTAATATTATTTTAATCCCTCAGTTAGATAAAAAGGGCTCCTACTGTCTATTAATAAATCACTTCACAGGAATAAGGTTAACTACAGTTCCCAGAGCAACTACTTTGAAACCATTTAAAAAGTAAATTATTTAAAATATTAGCAGAGTTGATATATGCATCATTGGATTTTGCTACCTAACTTCAAAATGTAAGTTTGAATTATAAAAATCACAAAGTCATGTAATGTTTCATGAAGAACAAAGCTCCATGAAATGTGGTCCACTAAAACTCATAGTTAGTGTAAGTTCAAAAGGAAAAATACCTCAGTTTCCAGAAAATGTTAAATAATAAAGATGTCATGAGTTATTTAGAACTGAGAAGAATATTCTGTATGGGAGCTGCAAACATCTACAACAAATAATTTAACTGCACACCATGGCTGTCTGGGATGGAGGTAACTTTCTTCATAACACCATATAATGCTGTGTTTTATATTTGTACCCAGAACAGTGCTGGTAACATACCAGTGTTCTGATTATTGCTGAGCAGTGCTTGCACAGCATCACCACCAACATCACCTCTGTGAGCTGAGGGTGCATGAGGGGCTGGGAGGTGACACAGCCAGGACAGATGACCCAAACTGACCAGTGAGATTCTCCATATTTTAGAACATCATGTGGAACAAAAGGAAAAGGGGAGAGGGGACATGGGTGCTTAAGGCAACCACTATGTGTACTACTTCCAGGAACTGGATGGATAATGCCTGCTGATGGAGAGGAGAGAATAAGTTTTTCTTTTTCTTTTTTTCTGAGTGCAGTGCTTGCATTTTCCTCCAAAACCTTGACACATAAGGGGTTTGGGGTCTTTTTGTATTTTCTCCCTCTGTCCGCTGAGAAGAGGGGGTGAGAAAGTGGCTTGGTGGGCACCTGGCAGCCAGCCAAGGTCAACCCATCACAAACTGAAACCCTCAAAATTTAGTTTTTAAATGGAAATGTGTCATCCCTAGTGACTGAATCATAAATGCAGTCATTTCCTACAAAGATGATTTTTAGTAACTCCTCACCAAAATCGCAGCCAGTGGCTCATAATGCTTCTCACTGGCTCCAAAATGCAGCCTCACAGATGCAGAGCACTCTCAGTGGTGTCTGCCCTGAAAAATTGATCTTCTGAGAGGCAATGTGTGGCATAAACATTAGAAATTATACTGTAATAAATCACCATAAAAAGTTTCAAGTGAAAATACTTCATGAGAAGTAATTCTGCACAGTGAAAGGACTAAGTGATCCAACAGATCTTTCTCAAATCAAACTTCTCAGATTTGTGACATTAGCAAGAGATCTTTGAGACACCCAAAGAAAGGAATGTATAAATCTGCTCATGAGGTCAGCATGCAGCAGGACCTGAAGCATGACCAGAGGGTCCATCTTACTGTGAAGGACAGAGGGTCTATCTTACTCTCTACATAAAATATTACGCTGGAGAAAATGCTGCTCATGGTTTTTTGCTGGTACACTTGGCAGCAAAGCCACCTATTAGGGTAACAAGATTCATTTTGCCTGGGAAAAATACTCTGAAAATATAAATGGAGCATAAAAGATTAATTGTACTCTTGAGGCTTTTGGCACCTACCCGTAGTCCAGCCTCATTTACAATACCAAAAGCATATATCAGTTGAACAAACAACATAGAAGTACAAAAACACCAAAGAAAAAATATCAGAGAAAGAATTCAACATGGTAGATTACCATGCTTTTCTCATCACTGGAGAGCTGTGAATAATGCTGACCTAGAAACACCATTAATTTCATCTCCACCTCAAAAAGATCCTCAGCCACTACAGAACACACATTAATTCCCCAAAAGCTATGGCAATATTAAAGCTAGTTTCCTGTACAGTTCCTTCTTCACTTTCCTGTACAGACCAGGTCACTGTGAAATTCAGTCTCCTTCCTTATCTGATACACAGCACGTCCCCACAGATTGTAGCATCATCATGTCTCATGTCCAGCAAGGAAGGAATAAGCAGGTCAAGAGAGGATGGGACCCCTCACACCCACGTTTGCCCTGAGAAGAATGTTCATAGACCTACAGTCTTTACTACACCCTGAATATTTATGAATTCCAGTATGCTGTGTTTGAGGCTTGCCCAGAGCCATCTGCTCCTCCTGTGCCCAGCACACACAACTACTTCCCAAAGGTCACCATCTGCTAATACACTGGTTTTTACAGACTGGCAAGAAATCCTCTCCCACAGTACAGGAGTACAGGTCCTAGAGGCACATCTTGGCAAAGATGCCTTTGTTTGGCTCTGCTTCTTCCATAGACCACATAGACCTTTGGTTTTGCCTCAATTTATCTTACTTCTTACAAAATTAATGGCAAGACAGAGACAAAATTTACTCTGTAAATCAGGTTTTTTATGAACATGACTAGAACAAATGCTCACAGATTAATCAAATGTAAAGAATAATTCTAGACTAAATTCAGTAAGACTTCCTTTTATTTGACTAATCCTTTTTAGGGAGGATCCCAG